AATAAATAGAACACACACTTTGGTACATACTCCTTGCCGGGCTTCCCTGGTGGCTCAGCGGTAAAGAATCTGACTGCTGGACTTCCGCAGTGGTGCAGTGGATAAGAATCCACCCGCCAAGGCAGGGGACACAGGTTCACCCCCTGATCTGGGAAGATCCCACATGCCTCAGAGCAACTAAAGCCTCTGTACCATGACTACTGAGTCCAAGTGTCCACAGCCTGTGCTCTGGAACAAGAGAAGCCACCACAATGAGAAGCCTGGGCAAAAGCAGCAAAAACCCAGTGCAGAAATAAATTAAAAAAAAAAAAAAAGAATCCACCTGCCGATGCAGGAGATGCGGCTTTGATCCTTGGGTCAGGAAGATCCCCTAGAGAAGAAAATGGCAACCCACTCTAGTATTCTTGCGTGAGAAATCCTATGGACATAGAAGCCTGGCAGGCTACGGTCCATGGGGTCACAAAGTCAGACACGACTTAGTGTCCTAGTGTCTTAGAGTCTCTCTTAACAATAATAAGTGCTAATGCTTAATGATCAAGTTATACTTAAGTAGAGTCTTTTCCCTCGGCTTTTTTTTATTATTATTATTGTTGTTGTTGTTCCATAATAACAAAGTTTCCTTTATGATTATAAAGGTGATGCAGTGAGTGGACTAGCTGGATCCAAAAGGTTACACCTCTGGGACTTCCCTGGCAGTCTGGTGGTTAAGACTCCGTGCTCCCAGTGTAGGGGGCACAGGTTTGATTCCTGGTTGGGGAATTAAGATCCCAAATGCCATGGGGTGTAGGAAAAAAGAAAAATTTACATGTCTTAAAATTAAAACCATAAGGCCAAATTTTCCTCCTCAGACATTGGGTAAATACTTCCTTTTAGAAGGCATCTAGAACTCTATCCACAAGTTAAAATTCACTTACTTAGCTCCAAGAAACTTTCCCTTCAAAAGCCAGTTTCAGAGCTGTCAGGATTTGGGTATTTTCAGCTCATGAGTCTTTCCTGTGAATATGTATATATTCAAAAGATATATATATTCACAGTTATATATAACTACAGCTCTAGAGATCTTCTTTCCCAGTTTTCTTTCAAAGGTATTCCCCAAAGATTTTATTTCCTCAAGAGCAACCTTTCCTCCTTTCCTTAAGGCAAATGAAAATACTTTCACTAGGCTCCTAACAGGGCTTTCCAGGTGGCACTGGTGGTGAAGAACCTATCTGCCAATGCAGGAGACAGTAGAGATGTGGGTTTGATCCCTGTATTTGATCCCTGTGTCAGGAAGATTCCCTGGAGGAGGGCATGGCAACCCACTCCAGTATTCTTGCCTGGAGAATTCCATGGACAAAGGAGCCTAGCAGGCTACAGTCCATGGGGTCACAAAGAGTTGGACATGACTGAAGTGATTTAGCATGCATGCAGGCCCCTAACAGGTTTTTAAAAGCCCCTCCACCCCAAGTCTCCAACCCCTGACTTCTAGCTACTAGCAATTACTATTCAAAAGTTCAATACAGTTACCCCCTGGTCTCCTAATGTTTCATTGAGCTATGAGGTTTTTTCTCAAACAGGTGTCCCATTGAAATTCTACTACTCCAGCCCCAAGGGAGCTACAACAACAGCTTGGACAGGATAGGGCTATAAAGCCTGACATTGATACAAGGATTTCAACTACTACAACAAGACAAACCTAGACAGCATACTAAAAAGTAGATACATCATTTTGCTGGCAAAGGTCTGTATAGCCAAAGCTATGGTTTTTCCAGGAGTCATGTCTGGATGTGAGAGTTGAACTCATAAAGAAGGCTTAGCACTGAAGAAATGATGCTTTTGAACTGTGGTGTGGAGAAGACTCTTGAGAATCCCTTGGACCACAAGGAGATCAAACCAGTCAATCCTAAAGGAAATCAGTCCTGAATATTCATTGGAAGGACTGTTGCTAAAGCTGACACTCACATCCTTTGGCCACCTGATGTAAAGAGCTGACTCTCTGGAAAAGACCCTGATGCTGGGAAAGTTTGAAGGCAAAAGGAGAAGGGGGTGGAAAAGGATGAGATGGTTAGATAGCATCACTGACTCAGTGGACATGAATCTGAGCAAACTCTGGGAGACAGTGGGAGAGAGAGGAGTCTGGCATGCTGTAGTCCAAGGGGTCACAAAGAGCCGGGCACGACTTACTGTCTTAATAACAACAACAGTAGTAGTGGAGTAAAACCACCCAGAAGTGCTTACAGTAATAATTTTAAGAAAGAAAGTAAAAAAAAGTGAAGTCGCTCAGTCGTGTCCAACTCTTTGTGACCCCATGGACTGTAGCCCACCAGGCTCCTCTGTTCGTGGGATTCTCCAGGCACAAATACTGGAGTGGGTTGCCATTTCCTTCTCCAGGGGATCTTCCCGACCTAGGGATCAAACCCAGGTCTCCCGCATTGCAGGCAAACGCTTTAACCTCTGAGCTACCAGGGAAACCCCTCAAACCTGCTCCAGAGTTAACAGTTGAGGTGCAGCAATTTTCAAACTTCTGTGACTATGACCTTGTGAGTACATATATTCTGATATAAATCAGAATCTGATATAAATATCAGAAACAAACGTGCTAACAAATACCACTTACCTTCTCTTCAAGGGCACAGGCAGCAATGTTTTCTTTCTTTATTTGGCTGTGCAAGATCTTGATTGCAGCACATGGGAACTTCAATTTTTTGTTGCAGCATATGGGATCGCTGACCAGGGATCAAACCCAGGCCCCCTGCATTGGGAGCAAGGAGACTTAGCCACTGGACCACCAGGGAAATCCCAGAAATGTTTTCCGTTTTGTTCATTCCATTTAATTTTTGCTAATGCTACCTGGCCGAGCTATATGAAACCGGTACCTGTGTGGCCCAAATGGTCAAATACGGGCAACTGCATATGGTCCAATTTATTTGTGACACTAAAGTAACTCTACAATCTACTTAGTGGGTTACTTAGTATCCCATAGTTTGAAAACAACATTGTTTAGGGGCTATTGTCATTTTAAAAATTAAAATGGGCCTGAAATTCATTTTTTTCACTTAATATGGCATGCACATCTTTCCATGCAGGCATTGGGTTGGCCAAAATGGTCATTCGGGTTTTTGTAACATCGTATGAAAAAACCTGAACAAACTTTTTGGCCAACCCAATACTACACCTTTCTCAAAGGTTTAATAGAAACCACCACACATGATTACCCCAACTTAGGTTAACTGATGTCCACTGGAGACTCTTAGATTTTTTCCAATTACTTGCTGTTCCAAACCATGCCAAAGTGAACATCCTTGTCATAAATGTTCATGTGCTGGTGCTAGAATTTCCGTAGCGTAGACTCAGGGAGGCGGGATACACACTGTGGTCTTAGCTGTATTTTAAAGCCTTTGAAGAAAAATTACTGTCACTGTTTTCCTTTGGTGCACTTGGTAGAGAGCAAGTGGGGCTGACCACGGGGGCCCCACCAGGCACCCCTTTCTGTGCAGCCCTCATCTCTCTACAGCCTTCTTCTGCAAGATGGGAAGTTCCAGCTCACCCCAGACCTCTCCCTCTATAGACAAACATCATGGAGGAACCCAAAGAAACCACGCTCTGTACTGCCCACCACTAGTTTAAATTGCTGCCCAAGTTCCTTAAACTCTGGGGACTCCACTATCACATCTACAAAAAGGAAATAAATCTCTTAGGGTTGCAGGGAAGATAAAGTAGGAAATGTGGATGCTTTATAAAATGTCACAGCAATTAGCCATTCTTTTCAGCTAGTGCTGCGCTGTTCTTTACCAATCATGAGACACAGCTTCTTCCACTGCCTACTCATTCACCCTCTAGTTCCCTTGGGAAGGGCTCAAAACAAAGACACTAAGCCTCACTCTTCATTTTTTATTTTATTTTTTGGCCTCCTGGCACAGCAGGAGGGATCTTAGTTCCCCCATTAGAGATTGAACCAACACCCTGTGCAATGGAAGAAAGAAGTTTTAACCATCTGATCTCTAGGGAAGTCCAAGGCTCACCTTTCTTTTTTTTTTTTTTGGAGGGGGGCACTGAGTGGCATGCTGGATCTTAGTTGCCAGACCAGGAATAGAACCCTGCCCCCTGCAGTGGAAGCAGGGAGTCTTAACCACTGGACTGCCAAGTGAAATCCCAAGCTCATCCTTCTGAGTTTCCAATCTGTGGAGTCCCTGGCCTCGGCTTCCTCACTTATTCTGGACTTGAGCACTATTAAAAAACCAAACTCTTGGACAAAGTCATTCATTAAACTACAAATATTTATTCAGCACCTACTACATGTCAGTTATGCTAAGCACACGTGAGCATCAATTTTCTAATTGGCAAAATGAAAAATGGAGCTTCTCAATAGAGAAACAATGGGCATCTTGGGCGGAACAGTTCTTTGTGCGAGTCTGTCCAATGACCTCTAGATGACAGGGGCTCTACCTTGTAACTGGAACAACCCACTGTCAGCCCTACACATTTCTTCAGGGGCATTTTCATCCTGTCCGTCTACCCTCTACGATTGATTTCGGAAGCCAGGGAATGAGGGGAAGCCCTAACACTGGCAGATTTAGGATGACGCCTTTCAAGGCCCAAGACAGTAGGATCTGGATCCTGTTTCCGCGGAACAAGGCCCTACGGTGGCCCCAGGGTGACGTCAACGGCCTTGGGGCTCTCGGTTCTGACTCCAGAATCTGCACCTAAGACACAGCAGCGGAACTTCAGGTTTCCGTTCAAGTATGGCGTGGGGTCCTGGAAGCGCGGTGCTCTGGTCACCCAAGAGCTGGGGATGCGAAGAGTTAACGCGAGTGGCCAAGCAGAAGCGCCCCCCCGACAGGCTAGAAAGATTGTGCATCCCAGCACCTCCCGGCGCCTTCGCGGTCACGTGGGAGTGAGGGCGGGACCAATCGAGGAGCCAGCCAATAGGCTGTGCTGTCCGTGGGCGTGACAGCCAATAGGAGCAGGGAAAGGGGTCCCGGGATACGAAGAAACGGCGGCCGGGAGGGGGCTACCGGGACATGGGGCTTCTGACCATACTGAAGAAGATGAAGCAGAAAGAGCGGGAGCTGCGACTGCTCATGCTGTATCCTTCCTGACGCCGGAGCCGAGGGTAGCGGGGGGATGGGGGGTGGGGGCCCCCGCCGGGCGGGCAGTGTCAGGCGCCCCCTACCGGGCGCTGCGTGTGCGGCCGGCCGGCCTGTACCAACTGCCAATTGTGCGTCACGCTCGTGGGCCCTACCATCGCTTTTGGCGGGGGGGGGGGGGGGGGGAGCCGGGAGGAGGCCATACCACCGTCTCGAGGCGGCGGGGGGGGGCCTTCGTTTCCAAGGTTTGGGCGTCACGGCGCGGCGGCCGGACCAGGTGTCCCAATGTCGGGGGAGGCGGGGCTGGTGACTCGAACGCTACCGCTGGTCCTCCCGAGCGCGGGGCCGCCGTCCTCCCCCGCCCTGGGCGCCTCCTCCCCCAGTTGGAGGGTGCCAGGCCTCGGCCCCGCCCTCAGGGTTGGCCTCTCGGGGGAGTGCGGGCCCCGCCCTTCTCTCCCAGTAGAGGGCGGGGTTGGGGGGTGGGGCGCCGTCTGTGGGTCGCTTGGTTTGTGTGGGTACGACTGTCCATCGCTTTGCTGTCTCACCCGGCCAGTCGGTATCCCCGCGGTTGACTGCTTGTAGGCCCGAGGGCCTTGCAGACTTTCTGAGTCTCGCTCGCAGGCAACCACATCCGTTCCCCCTTCTCCGTGCCAGGCTGGGGCGGGGTGGGGAGTAAGCTGAGATCCAAGAGCTGGGCCGACCTCACCCCCAGCAGAGAGGAGACATTTATGTGCACAAATAACTTAGTAATATTTACATCATGTCTGTTTTTAAGAACCCTGAGACAGGCACAGAGAATTCACTCATCCAGTAAACATTTATTGAGCGCCTGTTATGTGCTAGGTTCTGTCCTGGGCGGCTAGGGAAAACAGCAAAACAAACAAAAATCCCACCTTCGGACATTTTGTGTGATACTGAGGGAAGAAAGATGTTAGCAAAGTTAATAAGTAAAATATATAGCACTTACAGAGAATAATCCTGTATAAAGACGGTGGTCAAAGAAGACCCTACTGAGAAAGTGACAGTTGAATCTAGACAGGTGAGGGATGAATTATGTGGAGATCTGGGGAAGACTGTTTAAGCAAAGGGAGCAAGTGTAAAGGTCTCCGAGGAGGAAGCCGACTGGTGTGTCCAAAGGACTGTCAAGGAGGGAAGTGTGACCTGAGGGAGCGAGAACACTGGAAGACTAGGTCAGATGGAGGAGGTATTTCAGGTGGGGCCTTTTAGTTCTGAACTTTTCCTCTGTTTATTTATTAATTTGTGTGTGTGTGTGTGTGTGTGTGTGTGTGTGTGTGTGTTTTAACGAGGACCATTTTTAAAGTCTTTATTGAATTGATTACAATATTGCTTGTGTTTTGTGTTGTTTCTTTTTTGGCTCTGAGTCCTGTGGGATCATAGCTCCCTGACTAGGGATTGAACCAACAGCCCCTGAATGGGAAGATAAAGTCTTAACCACTAGACCACCAGGGAAGTCCCATATTTTTTATTATTTTTTAAATTTTATTTTTATTTTGCATTTTAATTTTATTTTATTTTGCATTAAATTAAAGAATTAAAAATTTTAATTTATTTTGCCATTGATTTTTGGGCTTCCCAGGTAGCGCAAGTGGTAAAGAATCTGCCTGTCAGTGCAGGAGACAAAAGGGACAGGTGTTCAGTCCCTGGGTGGGAAGATCCCCTGGGGTAGGAAATGGCAACCCCTTCCAGTATCTTTGCCTGGGAAATCCTATGGAGTGAGGAACCTGGCGGGCTACAGTTCATAGGGTTGCAAAGAGTCAGACGTTACTAAGCACACACACGCACATTGTTAATTTACAATATTGCGTTAGTTTCAGTTGTATAGCAGAGTGTTTTAGTTATATATATACATATATATATTCTTTTTCCATCCATTTTTTGAGATGGTTGGATGGCATCACTGACTGGATGGACATGAGTTTGAGTAAGTTCCAGGAGTTGGTGATGGACAGGGAAGCCTGGTGTGCTGCAGTCCATGGGGTCACAAAGAGTCCGACACGACTGAGCGACTGAACTGATTCTTTTTCAGGTTCTTTTCCCAAATAGGTTATTACAGAATATTGAGTAGAGTTCCCTGTTCTATACAGTAGGGGACGTTTCCTTTAATGAGAAGCCCAGAGAGGAAGCGAGAGCTGAGACTGGTTAGGCCACTGCAGTAACACAGGTACGGTAGGATGGTAGCTTGGATCAGGATGGAAGCAGTGATGGATGTTGATTTAAATCTTGATAGTAAGACCAGCAGCAATTGCTGCGGGATTGGCCATGAGCGTTAGAAGAAGAATGGTGTCATCAAGCATGGCTCCTAGCAATAGGATGAACGAGGAGCCACTTGCTGACAGGTATTATAGAAGGGGATGGGGAACACATTCAGGGGGAAGATGAGAGCTCAGATTGGGCCCTGTAAGATGCCGCTGCAACATCCTAGAAATGTCACCTGGGCAGCTGGATATAAAGACCAATGTCCAGGGGCGCAGCCGGGTGGGATGTTTGAATTTGGGAGTCATCAGCATAAAGATGGTATTTGAAGCCATGATCCTGGATGAGACCCACTGAGGGAGTGTGTGTGGACAGGGAAGAGAACCTAGGGGCCGAGCTCAGATCAAAAGGTCAGGGCGATGAGGAATGGTGACCAGGGAAATCAGGAGGAGAGCCAGGTAAGGCCGTGTCCGGAGTGGAGGAGGGGGCTGGACAGGAGCAGGAGGAAGAGGGCTGAGGACTACCCGGTCAGTGGAGAACAAGGCATCTCTAAGGACTGACCTTGGCCAGAGCAGTTTCGGGGAAGCAGTGGGAGCAAAGGTCTTATGGGTTCACAGAGGAGCAGGAGGAAGAAACTGGAGAGGGTGAGTATGGATACCAGTTCTGAGACTTGCTATAAAGGGAAGGAAATGAAGGAAAAAGTCAGGGGGAGAGGGGTCAAGAGAGGGTGGTGTTTGCCCCTTCTTGGTGGGAGAGACATCTGCTCATCAGCTGATGAGAATGGTTCAGTGGAGAAGGAAGCAGGGTGATGGAGCTGGGGTGGGGGTGTGATGAGGGGAGCAATCAGCCACCAGGGATCAGGGACGAAGAGAGAGGTCCTCCCACCCCCTTATTTTTTATTATTTGCCTGTGCTGGGTCTTCATTGCCACACAGGCTTTTCTCTAATTGCAATGAGTGGGGGCTACTCTCTTGGCAGGCTTCTCATGGTGGCAGCTTCTCTTGTGAAGCAGGGGCTCTAGGGCCCATGAGTTTCAGTGGTTGCGGCTCCTGGTCTCTAGAGCACAGGCTCAGTAGTCATGCACGGGCTTAGTTGCTCCTTGGTGTGTGGAATCTTCCCAGACCCGGGGTTGAACTCGAGTTTCCGGCATTGGCAGGTGGAATCTTTACCACTGAGCAACCAGGGTAACCTGGCCAACAGTATATGTTGTAGGATGAATTAAGAGCATCTGGTCACAATCAAAAAATGGGCCAAAGAACTGAACAGACATTTCTGCAAGGAAGACATACAGATGGCTAACAAACACATGAAAAGATGCTCAACATCACTCATTATCAGAGAAATGCAAATCAAAACCACAATGAGGTACCATTACACACCAGTCAGGATGGCTGCTATCCAAAAGTCTACAAGCAATAAATGCTGGAGAGGGTGTGGAGAAAAGGGAACCCTCTTACACTATTGGTGGGAATGCAAATTAGTACAGCCACTATGGAAAACAGTGTGGAGATTTCTTAAAAAGCTGGAAATAGAACTGCCATATGACCCAGCAATCCCACTTCTGGGCATACACACCGTGGAAACCAGATCTGAAAGAGACACGTGTACCCCAATGTTCATCGCAGCACTGTTTATAATAGCCAGGACATGGAAGCAACCTAGATGCCCATCAGCAGACGAATGGATGAGGAAGCTGTGGTACATATACACCATGGAATATTACTCAGCCATTAAAAAGAATTCATTTGAATCAGTTCTAATGAGATGGATGAAACTGGAGCCCATTATACAGAGCGAAGTAAGCCAGAAAGATAAAGACCATTACAGTATACTAACACATATATATGGAATTTAGAAAGATGGTAACGATAACCCTATGTGCAAAACAGAAAAAGAGACTCCTATGTATAGAACAGACTTGTGGACTCTGGGAGAAGGCGAGGGTGGGATGTTTCAAGAGAACAGCATTGAAACACGTATATTATCTAGGGTGAAACAGTTCACCAGCCCAGGTTGGGTGCATGAGACAAGTGCTCGGGCCTGGTGCACTGGGAAGACCCAGAGGGATTGGGTGGAGAGGGAGGTGGGAGGGGGGACCGGGATGGGGAATACATGTAAAAAAAAAAAGATACACTATGGTTGTGATAAAAAATAAATAAATTAATTAATTTAAAAAAAAAAAAGAGCATCTGGTCATAAGATAATATATTTTCACATTTATCGGGTAGGTCAGGCAGGTACTCAACATACTTTGATATGTGGTCAGAGAGGGGCCCTGGGATGGTGTCACCAGCCCACAGAGCCTGGGGACTTCTCCTTAACCTGGCACGCCCCCAGGGGCCTGGACAATGCCGGCAAGACAACCATCCTCAAGAAGTTCAACGGTGAAGACATCGACACCATCTCCCCCACACTGGGTTTCAACATCAAGACCTTGGAGCACCGAGGGTAAGTGGGGTCCCCGAGGGCAGGCCTGCCCAACACGGGGCAGGTGGAGGGCAGGTGGAAGCCAGACTGACCCTATAGCCCCCAATTCCCTGTCCAGATTCAAGCTGAATATTTGGGATGTGGGCGGCCAGAAGTCCCTGCGGTCCTACTGGCGGAACTACTTTGAGAGCACCGACGGCCTCATCTGGGTGGTGGACAGCGCCGACCGCCAGCGCATGCAGGACTGCCAGCGGGAGCTCCAGAACCTGTTGGTGGAGGAGGTGGGCAGGGGGCTCCCCGCAGTGCATTGTGCACCTGTGTGGGTGTGTGAACACCACCCTCAGCCGATCGCCTGCGGGGTCCATGATCCCAGGGGGACACTCAGGTGGGGTCTGTTCCTTCACCCAGCCCTCACCACGTGTCCAGCACCCCTGGGGAGGCAGAGACGATCTGTACACCTGCCCCAGGGAGGCTCACAGTGCCGTGAGCAGAGCACGGGTCCATGTGGACTGAGATGTGGGTCCATGTCTCTGCAGTATCACTGCTTCACCACCCTGAGCTTCAGCTTCTGCACCGTGAGTCAGGCTTTGGGGAGGGTGACTTGAGGCTGGTCTGTGAAGCTTTGGCAGGCAGTGGAGCCTGGCTCAGGGGTTGGACTGTTTGGTTAGTGACTTCAGGCAAGGCAGTTAGTTTCTCTGAATCGCCACTGCATCTCTCAGATGGGCATTATATTAATAGTTACAGTGATCTTAAAATGTACTGTCTGGGCCAAAATGCTCTTCTTTAAATAAAATTGTAGATTTATAGAAAAGTTGCAAAGATAGTGGAAAGTTACCCATGTATCTTTCACCTGGTTTCCCTTAATGTGAACATCTTACAGAAGTGCCAAACATTTGTTAAAACTATTTAATAAGAAATTAACAAGTTACTGTTAACCGAACTACAGGTTTTGTTTGGATTGCACCAGTTTTTCCACTAATGTCCTTTCTCTGTTCCAGGGTTTAATCCAGGTTACTCCACTGCATTTAGCTGAAAATCAGGACACTTTTGAGAGTTGAAGAGGGAGTTGTTAATAATTATTCAGGGACAACAGGCCTAAGCAGCGGTCGAGCAGGTCCAGTGAGATCCTGGCTGTTGAATGCTCAGCCCTGGCCTGGCACCTCAAGTCCCTTTTTAAGGGCTAGAGCCACCATCCACATGGAGGGACTCCCGGTCACAAACACACAGAAGGAAATAACTGGAATCACAGGCAGAGAGGGAGGCCTGTGAGGATAATGGGACAGTTAGGGGACTGTATGAACTTGGAGGAGGGGAAGCTTATTGCCCACAGCCCCCACAGCCCCTGGGATAGTCATGTTCTTTTTGATGGCAGGTCATCAGGTCAGAACAATAGAAAAGCAGAGGCTTGGGGATCATCTTGTCCATCAACTGCTCCCCTTGCCCATCACCCGCTCCCCTAGTCCATCTCCCCCTCCCCTTGTCCATCACCCGCTCCCCTAGTCCATCTCCCCCTCCCCTTGTCCATCACCCACTCCCCTTGTCCATCAACTGCTCCCCTTGTCCATCACCCGCTCCCCTAGTCCGTCACCCCCTCCCCTTGTCCATCATCCCCTCCCATTTATAGAAGAGGAATCTGATGCACAGTGCAGAGAGATGCCCACTGGGTGTGACTGTGCTGGAACCAAGGTCTCAGCCCAGCCCACGGCTCCCTCCAGCTCATAATGGCTGGACAGGAAGGCCGTGTTCACACTGCCCACCCTACTTGTGTCTTTGTAGTCACCATGGGACCTTGCTCTAATCTTCCAGACTGATCTCTGACCCCAGCTGCTCTGGCTGACTAGTGCAGGGGCCGGGCTGCCCTCTGAGCCTCCACCCTGCCTCCCCTAACCGTCTGTTTATCTTCCCCAGCGCCTGGCCGGAGCGACCCTCCTCATCTTTGCCAACAAGCAAGACCTGCCCGGAGCACTGTCCTCTAACGCCATCCGCGAGGTGAGTCCAGGCCTTGGCACAGGCTCACAGAGGAACAGGGGCATGTGATTCTTTACTAATTTATTTAGAAAGCATTTATTAGCCCCTATTGTGTGGCAGGACCTATTCAGGGTACGGGAGATTCAGTGATACAAGACAAGAGTTGTACTCCACAGCCTGGGGGATGGCAGACCTGCAAGTAGATTATCCCCAGGATAACAATAGCCAACATGCAGTGGGTGCTTTCTCTGTGCTAGGCTCTTTGCATGGATTAATTTATTCAGTTCTCACAGCAACCTCCTGAGTTAGGAACCATTATCATCATTCTACAGATGGTGAAGGAGGCTTAGAGAGGTTAGGTAACTCACCCAAGGTCACACAGCCAGGAAGCAGACAAGCCAGGGTTTAAACCCAGGCCTACGTGACCTCAGGTTACATCTTAACTCTTACTCTGGAGCTTGAATACCAGAATGAGAAAGGGTGGGATTAGAATCTAGGTTCTGCCACTGATCAGCCGTGTGACCTTAGACGGGCTGCTTAACCTCTCTGACGTAAAATGGCAAACACTATCCCTGGCCTAAGGGGCCTTGGGGGCGAATGGATAAGAGGACATTTGTAGGGCCCGTAGCACAATGTCAGGAGCCCTTGTTGCCATCCTATTATAAGGGGGTAGTGCTGGCATGGCGGTGACAGAGCCCAGGTGCCCTGGGAGGCCGCAGATCTTTACCAGGGCCCAGGGGAGGCTTCCCAAAGCAGGCCCATGATGGGGCTTGGATTTCCCCTGGGCCAGGGGGAGGAAGGGGCTGAGGGCGGGCAGGGCCTGTGGTCCCTGGGGCCCACCGTCACCTTCCGCCCTCTCAGGCCCTGGAGCTGGACTCCATCCGCAGCCATCACTGGTGCATCCAGGGCTGCAGCGCCGTCACCGGGGAGAACCTGCTGCCTGGCATCGACTGGCTCCTGGATGACATCTCCAGCCGCATCTTCATGGCCGACTGAGCCGCCCCTGATGCCCCCACGCCCAGCTCACAGTCCAGGCGCCCCCACCCCCCACCCCCTGGAAGGGTGGGAGTCCACCAGCCCAACTAACAGCCCGCGCCCCCCTCCGTACCCTGCTGCTGCTCCTGCTGCCCACTGCTGCTCTGTGGGCAGCCGGCTCCCGAGGCGGGAGGCCTGTCCCCCTGGCTGTGCCCCTGGCTCCTGACCCGGCCCACCTGCAGCTGCAGGACCAGGAGGAGAGGGCTGCGGCTGGGAGGGGGGTGCCTCTGCTGCTGTCGAGGCTGTGGGCCTCATCATTTGCTCCGCTGTGAGAATAAATCGTTCCCCGCTCCCATTCCTGGCTGAGTCATTTGTTGATTCTACAGCCCTGCAGACTGCCTAGAGCCCGCAGCCCAGTGGGGGACGAAAAAGACATCATTTCAGTCAGAGGATCAACTGTCGCTGTGTCAAGGGAGTGGCAGAGAATTACAGAAGCACGGGACAGGGCTTGGCATTCATACGGAAGAGTTCAGGTGGGCTGCCCAGAGATGACGTGAAAGCTGAGTCAAGGACGAGAAGTTTTCTGGCCAGAGGAAGGGGAGGGACAGTTTACTGGAGCAACTGCTACCCTCAGAGGTATGAATGAGAAAGAGGAAGGCACCCCCATGTCAGGGCTCTCGGCGTGGCGAACGGAACATGGGCTGAACCTCAGCCCCAGCTTCCCACTGCAGCCAGGAATCCGTGTGCAGTGGGCAACCGGTGTGAGGCGGCGCTGGTTCAAGCAGAGGGCCTCACAGGACGAGGCCGAGGGGTGATGACCCCAGTGTAGGAGGACGTAGACATCTGTTGAGGTCCTTTAATGGACCAGGACCTGGCGGTCCGGAGTCAATGATAAGAAAGTGAAAGAGAGAGCCGGAGGGAGGGGGAGAGAGAAAGAAAGACACGGGGACCCAAGCTCTGATGGAGCAAAGGTGCTTTAATGATTTTTCTGTGAGTATATATAGGCTGTAGTATAAGAAATTTCTTTTGATAATGATAAAGATCAGAAAACCAAATGTACAGTAACCATTACCAAGGGAACAAAGGATAATAATGGTCACAAGTTCAGGAGACAATCCATATCTCAAGAAAGGAGGAGGCGAGACTAAGCAGTTTTGTCGTAAAGAAAATGTTTTACTAAAGGAGACCCAAGCCCGTCTCACACAATGACCTCAGTCCTGAGAGCTGCATGCAGTTCTACTTACTTCTGGCAGAAGCTGATAAGGAACAGAGGACTTATGAGAAACAGCACGTAGGAATCCTCCAGTCAAACACTCCTTGACAGACATCAGGCTGGTTAGCTAACCAAGAGCAGGGCTGGGAAGGGAACTTTCCTGAAGACTAACGGGCTCTCTTTGAGGCAGGGGCCAGGGTGGGAAAGGATGGGAAGGAACCGGGGGGACCCCGGGGCCCCCATCCTGGTGGCAGGATAAGTGGGTATTTGTACAGGGTGCCCTGCTTGTAGTCCTTCCAGTGGGGACTTATTCTGCAGGGCTCTGTTTGAAGCACTTCTCATTACATCACACTGAATTATAAGCCCAACAATATATGTCCCCATTTATGTTGGAACAAAGCCTCCAGGAGGTCATGTGACTTACTCAAACCAGCCAGCTAGGAAGTAGAGGGGCTGGGATTTGAACCCAGCACACTGAGCCACTACACCCTGCTCACCATTTCGTTTTCGTTTCTCTGCTCAGAATTCCAGTGCCAGATGGAATTTGGCATAACATGTTTATGAGGGAAGGTGAGTTTTCCTAAGGGACAGGTGAGGAAGAGACACAGATTCACTGCTGAACTGGCATTAAGAGCCCTCCCTGGAGGGTGGAGGCCTACCCAAATCTGGGCTCTGTTAGGATGGAAGAAGAGAAACAGATTTTGGGTGGACAACAGGGACACCCCTGGTGGTCCAGTGGTTAAGAATCTGCCTTCCAGTGCAGAGGACAGGGGTTTGATCCCTGGTTGGGAAACTAAGATCTCACATGCTGTGAGGCGACTAAGCCCAGGTGCTGTAACTACTGAGCCCTCGCGCCTTGATGACAGCCCCATGTGGCAAATGAAGACCTGACGCAGCCAAATAAAATAAGAAAATAAGTACTTTTTTTAAGAGTATAAACTGTCCGTCACCATAGAAATTGAGAACCACCTGCCGTGTCTTCTGTGCAAGATAGACACCATGTCCCATGCTCCCATCCCTATGGTGAACAGACATACCCATTCTCCAGAGCCGAACCCTGGCTCTGCCACTCATTGATGAAGAGCAAGTTGCTTAACCTGTCTGTGCCTCGGGGTCCCCACCTGGGTTAAAGATAGTGTCATCTACTTCCTAGGGTTGGGAGGAGAATCAGATGGGTGGGGTGTCTTGTGTGTCATATGCACTATAGGTCAGCTATAATTATCTTTATTTGAACCAGTAGGAGTTCAGGCAGATCCAATCAATGTGAATTAAGACATCCACTGATCTGGGTGAGTCAACCCAGTGTTCAAGCTCTCCTAGGGGCCCTTAGTAAGCAGCATCCTTTCATTCAAAGGTGAAGGTAACTGTTCATGGTTAATGACAAATATTTTCCAGGCAAGAATACTGGAGGGCATGGGTTGCCATGCCCTTCTCCAGAGGATCTTGCTGACCAAGGATCAAACCTGGTCTCCCACATTTTGGGCAGATTCTTTACCATCTGAGCCATCAGGGAAGTCCAGAGACAAATAAGAAAAATAACAAGGTTACAGTCATCACAAGTCCTCTGAATGTGGAGGATGAGCTGTGGCAGAAAGTCTGCATCATGTGGTCAAGCTGACCAGGTGGGAATGTGGGGAGCAGACCCCCTTCCCCTGTGCAGCTTTTCCTTCTCCCCTGCCTTCTGAGAAGGCTCTTCTGTTCACTTCTACCAGTGACGGAACTCCTATGGAAGGAGAAAGACCAGGGGCTAAGCTGACCTAGATGGGAAAGGTCTTAGATGGATAAAGAGGGCAGAAATGGGAGAATGGGGAATTGCCTGGCAAGGGAGGGGAGGGAATGATGGGAAAGAAGGGGACTTGAAGCCAGGGCCCTGCCAAGAGAATTCTGAAAACCAGGTGTGTGTGTGTCTGTTAATCGCTCAGTCCTGTCTTGACTCTTTGCAACCCTATGGACTGTAGCCCACCAGGCTCTTCTGTCCATGGGATTCTTGAGGCAAGAATACTGGAGTGGGGAGCCATTCCCTTCTCCAGGGGTCTTCCTAACCAAGAAAGGGGTCTTCAGAGGAGCCCTGTGTATGCTGTGAGAGGGGACACAACCCCATCCCAGACCCCTCACAAACACCTCCGGATGAACTACCCTGTTTCCACGATCCCAAGACTCTGTTTTGGGAGTTTGCTTTGTTTCTGAAGTTAGAGCACCCACTCCTCTGAGTTCCAGTAAGAGTGGCCGCCCGTGCTACTCCAGGCTTCACAGCCTGGTGGTGGTGGGATCAGTCAGGGTCCTGGGTGCACTGTCCAGACACAGATCACTGCCTTCAGCAGAAAGAACCTTTTTTGGACAGATACTGGGAACTCAGGGCATCTCGATGGAGACTGAACAGCTCCAAAGGTTGGGCAGCCAAACCCACAGCTGACGCTGTACTCTAAGAACAACGTTGTCCCCTCACCAGGCACTGTGCCTGTCCCTCACTCAAGAGTCAAGGCTTTCGGGAGGGAGTCCCTGACCCCAGTTGGAGCCTGGGGCAAGGAAAGGAGCTGACACCTTTGGATTCTGAGCTAAGAGGCTGGAGGGCTGCACATACTAGCAAACTACCTCCAAAGATCTGCTGCTATGGTGCTAACAGAGGCAGGGGTGAATGGTGGACAGACCCACAAAGGAAAAAGAAATATCCACTGCAGTAGATTCTATATCAACATCCCCATTCTAGAGTTGAGAAGCTGTTGCTGGAGTAGTTAAGGGAAACTCTTGTAGTCAGTAAGGCGTGTGACTTCAGAACCCATGTCACCACTGTACTTCTCTGGAGTTCTTTATGTTCCCCTACCCTTACAGAAAACGTGAATTTAGCGGATCCTAGGGAAGGAGACAGGGAAATAATTTGCCAGTCTGGCACATATTGAACACAATAAAATTTGGGGGAATGGATGAAAGAAGGGAATTGGAAAGCAAAGAAGTCATTTGGAGATATGTGATGACGGTTTACCACCGCATGGGGTGGGCTTATCTCTAAGCAGACCTGAGTGATCCAGCTTCCCCAATCCTTTCCCAAATCACTTGGTTCCTGCTTTACCAACCATCGAGAACTTTTTAGACGCTCCCTTGGCCAAGCGCCTGGTCGAGAATTGCACTGTCACTTGCGACCAGCTCCCTGGGCCGTAGGATGCAGGGCGCAAGCCCGGGCGAGGCGGCGACTGGGAAGACAGAACTGTAGGGGCGGGGGCGGCGTGGAGGAGGCGGAGGCCGGCGGTCAGCTCCGCTCCAATTTGTTTGCCATGTCCCGGCAGGCGAAAGACGACTTCCTGCGACACTACACAGTCTCCGACCCCCGGACCCACCCCAAGGGCTACACTGAATATAAAGTGACGGCGCAGGTAGGGTGGGGCCCAGCGGGAACTTTACCCTTTTAACAAGAGCGGGGCCGTGTTTTACTTTAAGGCAAGACGCTGCTGGAAGCTCCCGTTTTAGACGACAGAATGGATTTCCCCTTTAAGCGGGGGGGGGGGGGGGGGCGGGGGCGGGGTAGGTAACCGGCTTTAGTTTACATCTTTAGCCATCAAGGGGCGGGGCCACAGGAGGGCGCTGCTCTTTTAAAAGGGCGTGCCGGCTGCTCCCAGACAGCGAGGTGTGGGTGTCCACGCCCGATGCGTGACAGCTTGGTGTCAGACTGTGAATTTCTTTAAGTTAACCTGAAAACTCCGGCTCAGCCCAACTATTGATTAGGTCTCCAGTCTCTTGGAGTAAGTTTTGTCTATTGGTTTGTTTCATATTTATATGAAAACTCTTTAAGGAGTTGAATTACTTTAAATTTTTT